GTTATGAGCATTAATAGAATATAAATAATCAAAATTAAGAAATACACATTTAATTTTGCATAGAAATTTGAAAACACTTATAAAAATGAAACAAGAATAAAAAAACTAAAAGTCCTTATATTGTGAAACAGAGAGTATCTATCACGTATTTATGTTGGTTTTGGTTAGGTTCAATACCTTTTGATATGGGTCGGTTCGGGTTTGATATTTTGGGTCATGGTATTATGCCCATGGCTAAATTGTCTAATAAATTAACTCATACCTTTTTGAACTTTGAGGCTCGCAGCTTTTAATGAATTATTTTGATGAAAAAAAAAAACTTTATTGTTCGTGCAGAATCTTCATTGTAACATTTTTAATAATCTGTGATAATATGATAAATTCAGCGAAAAAAAAAGAACTCAAGTTCTATACTCTGTCTGTTTTTTTTTTTTTTTTTCATCTTATCCTCATAGGGTATCATTTAAAGTACAAGATGATTTAAGGAGATACAAGAAGCAGAAGATAGTAAGAATACAAATACTAGTACTCGTGAAAGAGGACTTAGGTTTGGAGAAGTTCGAACCAAGAGTAAAGGAGGGTTTGTGTTGAAGCAGGTGGTGTTCCTGGAGACAGCGCTCTCTTTGTGATCAAAGCCCTGTCTAGTCCTGCCAACTTAGCTCGCATAAGAAGTTGAATCTCCTTTACCAAGGATTGGGATGTCTTTGGTGAAGAAGAGTGGAGTCTGGAATTACGTTCCCTCCAAATGTAATAAACTGCCGCTTGAAACAGAAGCTTACAAATAAGCTTTGGGTTGTGATGGAGATTGTTTGCTTTAACCCAATTGACAATAAGGTCGAAGGACATAGGAGGGGAAATTGATGAATGATTGAAAAAGGACGACCAGACCTGAGCCGAGTAACTGCAATGGAAGAACAAGTTGAAAATTCGTATTTGTGCCTATCTCTATATGTTCAAGTGTGTAATGAGTATGTGCGTGCATAAAGGTAAAGAACACATAGAGTTTTTTATCGAGGTTCGTTTCCTACATCCCCGGGACCTAGTCCAGATCAAATCCACTAGAACAAGAGTACAATTACAATTGTATATGGTATCCAGCACTACAATGCCTACCATTCTTTTCTAGATGGATAAGCTATGAAGATAGATATCAACCCCGCATGATTGACTATCATCCGGCAGCACCGGAGCAACACCGCCTATGTCTTAGAGTTCTAGATCTATCCACGATCTTAGAGACTCTCAACGGCTGCGATCTTCATAGGACCCCAAAGCCTTTCGCTAAGGCATCTTTTCGTTGTGTATGGGTTAAGCACATCCAATGCTCTCCACGCCCTATTTATCCACAATAGGCACGCCTTGAAACCCTACAAGGTTTCTCCCTTGGTGACCACTCCAAATCTCCAAGAGAATATTTCTTTCCTTATTTTTCTCTAGGAAAAGGAAATATTCCTACTTGCTTGATAGCTGCTAATATCTTCGTCCAACTCAGCTCTTGACTCTTCTAGAATCTTCTAGACTCGTCCTCATCAGCTACAAGCAAATGTCCAGCCCATCAGATCGATTCCTTAAGCCCTTTTGCTGAACACGACTCTCTGTACTACTTCGTGACGGATACGCTAAGTGCTTCAGTCACTGCATCTTCATCTGCATGCATCTGACTCGATCAACACTGCATCAGCACTTGCAACAAGTACTGCCTTAAGCTGTAGCACATCCTGTTTATGTATCTTCTCAAACCAGTCAGCATATACACTTACAATCTCCCTCTTGATGACTGCGTTTTAGAACTTAAGCATTCAATGAATATATCACTGATATCTCATCCTGTATCAGCATCTTCTCAAATCAGTCAGCGTTACACTTACAATCTCCCCCTCGATGACTGCATTTTAGAACTCAAGCATACTGTCATCACGATACTAATATCTCATAACTTGATGATCCATGAACTCCCTCTTAATGGTATATTCTCAAACATATGAGATATCTTTGAAACTTACTTTCGGCTTGACTTAGATATCACCAGAATACAACGCACCAACAGCTGAATGCATCACCGCTTAGCTTTGAGAATTTGAACCTCTTTCATTCTCCCCCTTTTTAGCTTAGTTTGATACTCAAGTCCTTCTGCAAGAGAGCACAAACGGTCCCAGATTTCAGAACCGTACAACTCCCCCATAAGTTAAGCTCCACTTCATCTCCCCCTGCTTGAGTACATAACTAAGTTAAAAAACAATACCAAAAAAACACTCCCTCAATGCAAATTACGTATCGCTTAAGCGTCGTCAATGTTAGCCTTTGTTCTAGCAGCTACTGACGTTGTTACAGTTTCTGTTCCATCAGACCTCTCATGAGTGAACCAAGTCTGCAATTCCCAAAGACACCAACACATCTACTCTCCTGACTTGATCACATAATGCAGAAAACAATGTTTCACCTCTTGGTTTCTTTCTCACAGATTTTGAGTTCATAAAGATCAGCATTCCTTGACTGAGCAGCCTGCGTGTTAACATTCTTCATATCCATAATGTAAAACTGCAGGTTATTCAGAACGATCTTAAATCGTCCAAAAAAAAAAACTTGAAAGCTCATGCTCTTTGCTGATGTTGTCTTCAATCAAGGCATGATGAATTTCATGCCTTAGTGTTAACATGAGAATTCAGATCTCTTCTCTTGAGAATCATAACTTCACTTCCCATTAAACCCAGAGATCTCCTCCAATCAATAACCTCTTAGCAAATCAAATACCAAAGAGATGATTTCTGCAGAATACTCAAACTCTCAAAAGCTTCTCTTGATGAAATACAGCAATCAAAACCACCAGCCTTTCTAATCTTGAAATAGAAGTGATTCTTCCGGAACTCATCCTCTATACTTTTCTTACAGAGAATAGAGCTCATCTCAATTCGTTTCTCAGCTACATGATACCTCCGATTATGTACTGAAATCACTCATCAACACACTTGCTTAGGCTAGAATCAAAAACTAGACAATAACGACTCTCATCAATCATCACCTCCTGAATTGAGTAGCTCTTCCTTTTTCTTCACAATGAACCTCCTTAGCCTGATTATGAAGCCATTATGGTTTTCCAGAGCTTGAGGTTCAACCAAGTAAACAGATTCTCCACCAAAGATCTCATCACAACTGTTGAATTCACGTAAAGACAATCCTTGAGCTAACCTTAAAACTCTCTCCTTTTGAGAACCATATGATGAACGTGGTTAGCAAAACAAGACCACTCATTTAGCTTCTTTTTTCACTTTTAATGACCATCGAAAACTCATGAAACCAATCCCTGATTTTTCTTGACCGCCTGGTTATTGGTTCAAGTTAAGAACCCATCATCAACAACTCAATACTCATCTTCTCCAAATCATCGTTTCCAAGGTAAGACAGGATCACAGAAGATAGTTCTCCAAACAACTGTTGTTCTCAACTTCAGGCATAGACATTGATCATGTGATTCCAACAGATGCAGCCTCGAGTCACACTTTATAGGATCGGATGAGAAATTTTGCTTTAATTTGCCAGATAAATCTGTCTTCTCTGTCAATAACCAACTCCTTAGCTCTCCCTTTTTCTTAGTTTGTGCAACACAAGCAACTTCTCATACAAGGCAACGCCAAATCATCAATGCAGTTCAAAATGCATCAAGCCAATATATCTCCCCCTGCTTGAGTGCAAAAACAAGATAAAAACCCATAACTACTGCATATTTTCTCGAGGCATGTCCATCAAAACACTTCAGACGTGGACCTCTTGCTTTCTGAAAAAAAATATCTCTCTGTTGCAGGTTCTGTTACAGAAGTTGGTATAGTCGATGTTCCATTAAGGTCTTTGTTCCTGCTTGATTTCTCTTTGGTTTCATCTTCTCTGTTTTCACAAGCCACGCTTTTGATATACATCCAGAAGATTAGCTTCCAATCTTAGTATCTTACACAAGTGATCTCTCGTCTCCTCCTCAATGTTACAAAGAAGACAAACTTCCGGAACTCCAAGGCCCCAACTTCGAAGACGATTTCTGGTTGGTAAACGATCTTGAACAATAACCCAAAGGTTGAAAGCGTGTTTGGGTACATCAGTAAACCAAACTGAGGGATACCAAAACACGGTTGGAGGAGAGGGATGGAGGGATTCCCAAGTCTTTGTAGTAGAAAGCTGGGGGAGAGGTGGTGTTCGTTTTCCATAGAAATATATCAGGCTGAGACGTAGACAAGGAAGGTGGAGGACTTGGAAGACAATTCCGCAGAAGAAGCAGAATTGGGTGTCTTCCTCTATTGTTTTACATGTCATTCTAGATTTTTCCATGCATATTAATAAAATATATATAAAATTTCTCTTGTATCTTTAAAAATTCATTAGATCTAAAGTTAAATTAGGTATTTAATACTGAAAATTACATTGAAAAAAAAGAAACAAGAACTAAAAAGAAATAAAGAAAATATGTCTTTGCCTCATTATAAGGTCTGATAGATGAAAACACCCAGTAACTATAGCTCGACTGATAAAAAAATCCTACGCAAAGCACGGCTGATTTTAACAGATGAAAACACCAAGTGGCTATAGCTCGACTGGTAAAAGAATCATAAGCAAAGCTTAAAGGTCACATAATTAAGTATCGCTTGAGACGGAACCAATATCACATGATGTGGTTCCGGGCCTAAAGGGATGTACGGGCTTCGGTCCAGAACCTCTTAGTACTTAAAAAAAATAAAAATATAAGATTAATGAAAACAAGTTTGTACAAAGCATAAAAGAGTTGTTTGACGTAAAAAAACAAAACAAAATAAAACTTAGATCCTTCACACAGGTATTTCCACACGGTTACTCAAACAGCTTAGTTCTTTCCCCTATCTACAGTACAAGCTATTTCAGCTGAAGAAGTTAAAGAAATAATGAAGCAATTAAAATCAAAGGTTTCATCTGTTTTTTGAAAGCAGAGTTTTGTCAAGAGAGTTAAACAACAACAAAAAAACCATAAACATAAGATATTATTATCTTTTATGATCGTCGCTTGAGGATCCCACCAACTCCACTTTCTTCACAAGCATATCAGAAGTGTGATTTTTTTCAACGTCGTCTTCATTAACAAACCACAAAAGAAGAGGGAGAAAACTACCAGCACGTTTTTGCGGGATAACGTAAGGGAGAAGGATAAAAAGAATCACAATATAGAAGATGGCTGATATGGTGGAAACAGTGTAGTAAAGCGTCTTGTTCTGCTTTATTGTCGCCAGCACGCCACAGACGAATGCAAGGGACATGAAGATCAGAGAAAGGAATAGTGTTGGCAATGCCACCCTAAAGGCCCTGTCAACGATATCTGTATCCCCCAGCTGAGCCCAAACAAGAGAAACTATTGCTACAAAAGAGCATTGCATTGCAACTGTGTCAAACATCACAAAACTAAGGATGTTTCTTTCATCAGCCAAAATGGCCATGCCCAAGTTAGGAGCAGAGCTGCTAAAGCCACCTGGCATTGTAAAACCTGCAGCAAACGTCATGGTGGCTACAAGGGCTGCCACCAACAGAAGAATATTTATTTGGTCTTTGTATTTGTTCCCACCAGGTAGGCGCTTCTCTGATATGCTTTTCAGTGTCATCCCATTCAACGGCATCCATACAAAATCTCCCGGTGTGTAAATGCGCATCAACACCACCAACGTCATTCTCTGTTTATCACAAGAGAGATGAAACAAAGGCATGCAATGAGCTCTGTAAGGTTTGTTATATGAACAAAAGCATTATTTTTATAGACAGAGGAATATGTTGTACCTCTCGGAAAATGTAATCAGATTGAAGTTTTAACTTCGCAATATCAAAAGGTCTTAAGCCATCTTTGTTTCGTATATTCAAGATTTTTGGGTTGGTCAAAGCAAGCTCAGTAAGTTTCCAAAGAGTTCGAGGGCGCCAATTTATGGTGGCTAGGTGCAAAGGTGTATTCCCATCTACATCTTGCTCCTCAATCAGATGATTCTTCCTATCAACTTTCCTTACATGACCCAAAAGAAAAGATTCAGCTTTTCCACTCTTTGCTGTGATGTGAAGAATGTTCTGACCTTGCTTGTTGAGCAAGTATGTTGAATCTGGACAACGTTTCAGCAGCTCTTCAACAATATCCATATGACCTTTCTCTACTGCCTTATGGATTGAAAAAGAACCATCGTCATCACATTCATAAACATTTGGTGGTGTTGATAGGACTAATAGCTTGTATATGCCTTTATAAAACCCTACTGATGCCCCAACGGAAAGACATGTTCGCCCTTCTTCATCTCGCTCGTTGACAAGCCTAGGATATTCATTTAGAATAACATCAAGAACATCTGCCCACACAAATAGGATTTTTTTTTATCCAACCAAAAAAAAAGAACCAAAGAAAAATAGGAACTTCAATTAGTGTCTTTCAAGCAAAGAAATTCGAACACACCTGTATTCTTAGCCTTTAGAGCTGCGTGTACAAGCGATTTTCTCCCTTCTAATCTCGAGGCTACGTCAAACGTTTTACCTTGGACGTTATTATCAGGAAGGTTCAACATTGCATTCACAAGTGAGATATTACCAGCTTCTATAGCCATATACAAGGGAGAAACTCCATCTTTATTCGCAAGAAACGAAGCCTGTTGGTTCGCTTTCACCAGACAGGCAGCTATCTCCATTTGGCATGTTGATGTATCACTAAATGAAATAACTTGTTTATGCATAATCGAATGAGACATTGGTCGTATTTCTACGATACCTTTCTGATACATCCGAAGCTAATAAAGAAAATAACAATGCATCAGACACGTATAAGAAAAGACAGCTTACCCTACAAGTTCATATACTCTTTTATTTTATATTCTTATCCATGTCCATTACCTCTGCTTTTTTGTGAAGGTCTTTCAAGGCTAAGTGCAGAGCAGTATCTCCATTTATGTCCTTCAAAACATATAGATTTACGCTCTCCCTATCTTCTTCACAAAATATAGCTGAAAAACACGTTAACGCCTCAACAAGAACCTTCACAACTGCTGAATAGCCAGCACGAGCCGCCTCATGAAGCGGAAGCCGATACTTCGAGTTTAGCTCCAATAGAAGAGATGGGCATTCAAAGATTATCTCTTTCACTAATTCAAGATGACCCCAAGAAGCAGCAATGTGAAGAATAGAATCTCCTGTATCGTTCTTGTAACATGCCATTGGTGTTTCCTTTGTCCTCATCTTCTCCATAATCGTTATGTTTCCACTTCTCATTGCGCTAAAGATCTCTGGATTCATGGACACATATTCACCAGGCAAGTTGTAAAGATCCGACAACCTGAGATTGGTACGGATCTGTTGCATATATTCAGTGTCTTCTATAAGTGGCGGCACACACTTTTCCCCGCTTTGATTGAAACCTCGTGATCTGATCATGCCTGCACCTTTGTTTATCAAATCCCAGCGGAAGGATCTTCGTCTCCGTTGGTCATGGCACACATCCGTTGACCTCTGCGCCTCAATTGTGTCCAGACGTGCATCAGAAAGATCCATCTAAGTCCTAAACTATTACACAGATTGTTTGAAAAGACAGTTTGAGTTTCCGGTATCAAAAAGCAAAAGTCAATGACACCAAGAAAGACTTACCAAGTGTTCAAAAGAAGATGATTCAGATATTCAAGAGTATTTACTAAAGCTTCAGGGAATAGAGATTAGATTATTCTATGTTTACTTAGAATTCCATTTATATAATCTGTTTAACGTCTAAGAGCCATTTGTGTGGGACATAGGGTCACCTAGAAATTAGTGAAAAGTCTTTCTTTAATCAGAAATAATTAGAGGAAAGAAGGACTCAACGCAGAGATATATAGAGGGAGTCATGTTCCCATTCCTTAATTTTTCTTTAAACTCAAACTTGACTTTGTCTCAACAAGAAATTAAACATTGAGTTTTCATACTAAAGAATCTAAAGATGACCTTGAAAAGCGAGAGATTAAGAAAAGACTGACTTACTAAAGTCGTCTTCTAGGGAAACGATAAAAAAAAAAGTTTGTGGTCTTCTAGGGAAACGATAAATAAATTATTAGTTTTATATTCTCTGATTACTAAAGTCTTTTTACAATCATTAGAACATTCGCAATAGTGAATATCGTTGGATAAATCGTAATCAAAGAATATAGCGGTAATCTTTTATATTTAGATCTATACATATGTCAGATGACAATTTTACCAAATCTGCCCCTATACACATAAGCATGTTGGTTGGACATATTTTGTTCCAGGAGACAAAGTATTAAATGCGGTTATCTTTCCAACGCAAATCCACGCCAGCGTAAATGAAATTATGAAAAGCTGTTATCACAAATGTTATCTTTTGTCGATAAATTACTTATGTCATTGTAAGATTATCATGATAACAAGCAACTACATGTTAGCAAAATCCGAATAGTGGTGTTTTTTGGTACTTTGCTTTGCTATTTGTCAAGCTAATTGGATATTAATATGTAGTTGCTTACAACGTAAGTTGGTTATTACGCGTAAACTACAGTAGTTATTATGTAGTTGTTTGTTATCATGCTAACAAGCAACTAAATGTTAGCAAATTTTATTAGCATGATAACTGATAACTATAACTAAATAAAACATCACCAGAGTGCCTAAGTTTTTTGTCCATAAATTACATTTGTCATCGTAGGATTATCATGATAACAAACAACTACATGTTAGCAAGAATCGAGTAGCATGATAAATAGTAAACTACGGTTATTAACATATAGTTGCTTGTTATCATGCTAACAATGCAAGTTGCCCATTACTCGTAAACTACAGTAGTTATCATGCTAATTGGATGTTGCTAACTTTGGTAACACACAAATTACCGCTACTGAGTTCTATGTTAAATCTCTGAAACATAGAATTATAAACCCTAAACCCTAAACTCCCACAATAAACACTAAACCCTATACACAAAATCCTAAACCCTAAACACTAAACCCTAGCCTCAGAACCCTAAACCCTATACAGGAAACCCTAAACCCTAACCACAAAACTCTCAACCCTGTACAAGAAACCCTAAACCCTAATCCCTCTAAACCCTATCCACAAAGCCTAAACCTTAAACTCTAAGCCCAAACCCTAATCCCCCGCAATAAACCCTAAACCCTAAACCCTAAGCCCAAACAACTACATGTTAGCAAAATCCAATTATCATGGTGAATAGCAAAACTAAGGACTAGGGCGTCTAAGTCTTTCGTCGATATATTACATATATTATCGTAGGATTATCGGGTTTTTGGCTAATTCCCCCCTGAACTTATTAATCCCCGAAAATCCGCACACAAATTATTTAATCAAGCCAATACCCACATGAACTTCTTAAAATTTTGAAATTCCCACACGAACAGGCATAAGTTGGCCAATTCCTCCAAAATCGCATTTGGGCGTGTGCTAGCCTGCTGAGTCAGCTACAGCGTGGCAAAACAGGACGACGTCGTTCGCGTTTTTGGTGTCGAGAACAATCAAAACGACGTCGTTTTGACGTATTAAACAAAACGACGTCGTTTTGAAACTTCAATTTTCTCTTGTAATGCCAAAAATTCCAATTAAAATTCCAATTAACCTGCAACTAATAAATAACACATAACATTAAAAAACAAGAAAGCATTAACCATCAAACAACATAAAGTTCTCATCAAATCCAAGCACACAATATTTAATTCCCAAAATCAAGTTGTGATCAAATCCAAACACAAAAATACAGACGACCAGTCTGAGATTAAAACAACAAAAATAACATCTCGACATCTCATTCATCTCTCAACAACCTGCAAATTAGAAACACACAAAATCAGAAACTATAGATAGTGAAACCCGACATCTCAAAACCTGAAACTGATCTTAGATACAAAAACAGAAAAAACACAAACCTGAAACTCGAAATTTAGTCAATGACTTGGCTTTGCATTGGTTGACTTGATCCCTCATCGGACACCTTCTTCTTTCTTGGTGGTCGTGGCTTTGCGCCAGCTACAATACTATGGCAATTTCTGGCGTTATGTCCAACACCTAGACATCTTCCACAATGTATGATTCTTCTTTCTCTTGAGACCTTAGTTGGAGACGTTACCATCTCTTTTTTCTTTTTCTTCTTCTTAGTCGGTGACTCATTCCTACCTTTGATTCTTTTCTGAGTTTTCTTTTTTCCCTTAGATGACTCTGTTTCGTCTCTTGGTGGTGGAACAATCACAGCTTCATCAGACTTTGCCCAAAAGTTCACACCACGGACTGCTTTAATAGGTATATTGTATTGATTTCTCCACTTAGATGTCAGATAGCAGTGAGACATATAGTCTTCTTGTTTGCGTTTCTTGTCTGAAATGATCTTCAAAGCATGACGGCAAGGTAGTCCTGACATATCCCACTTCCGACATGTGCAAGTATGTAACACCATATTAACTTTGAAAGCTGACTTCTTGTCCCTGACCTCATACATCTCATGACCAGCCGGAAAAACCTTGCAATGTTTGATCTTTTTCTGCTCTTTATCGACTATCTCTTGGGCTTTAATACTGAACTTGCCTCGGTGACTCATTGCTTTCCGCTTTCTTGCATCCATACAAAGCATTGCTCTCCTCCTTATTGTCTCTAGCATTTCAACCAATGGCATAGATCTTGCAGGATCAATTGCATGATTAAATGACTCAGATACGTTGTTGCTTACATCGTCACATGAAGATGATGGACTGAAGAAAGCAAGGCTGCAATTTTTTGGATTCTTCTGCATCATTGAGTCGAAGACCTGCATGTCATAAGCCTTTACCTTCTCCAAACTTTTGTTGTATTGTGCGATGTTGTAGCTCTTTGCAACCTTCCAGAATAAACCTTTCATGTCAGCCCTGTGTGGATGATTCCTCTTTAGGTTTGCATAGATGTGTCTAGCACACATTCTATGTTCAACCTTAGGCAACAAAGCGCCCACAGCATTCCATAATCCCTGCAAGCAAGTTAAATTAAGCGAAATAGAACATATATTCATAAATGAAGCTGAAATATAAGATATTACCTTTGCTCTATCGAATATCACTGTGAAACCATCACCATCTTTCAGATCTAAATCTTTTTGCAATTTCTGAAGGAACCACATCCAGTTGTCTTCATTCTCGACATCAACTACAGCCCACGCAATAGGGAACATTTGATTGTTTGCGTCTCTTCCAACCGCAGCTAATAGCTGATCTTTGCTTGTGCACTTCAAGAAACAACCGTCAAGACCAAAAATAGGTCGACAGTGTGATGACCATGCCTGTTTCAGTGCATCAAAACACACATAAAACCTGAAGAAGACATCTTGTCCATCGCTTCCCTGATATGTCTCTATAGTTCCACAATAGAGTTTTCATTCGAACTACAAAAAAAAACACATACACATACAATTTAGAAAACTAAAGAACAAACAGGAAAACCCGTTAATCAAACATGCTTTAAAAACTTACTCTAAAAGTTCAAGGCGGTAGTCTCTTAGTCTTGAGAATTGTAAGTCATGCTCCTCTTGAATCATCTCAAAAGCCCTTGCTCTTGCATTTCTGCACTGGTCTATTGTTACAGTGAGATCCCATCGCTTGTGAATCTGGTGCTGGATATTTTGAGGCATAAACTTCGGATTGTCCCTCACATCATTCACAAAAAGCCTAGCAATAACCTCTTGATTAATTATTCTAGAATACCCACTCTTTTGGCAACTGTGATCCTTCACATAAGTTTTAACCAACCATTTCTGTAATGGGCGTTCATAAGAACAGTAAATCTTCCACTTACACTCTTCATCTCCTTCTTCAGTTTCACTTGCACAACAAAGCCCAGATTTATCTTTGTCCCAGCGAGTGTATTTCACATTCCATCCTTGCTTTAACACATAATCCACCATTGCTTCTTTAAAATCTTTCAAGCTATCAAAGGCTTGATTTAACTTCAGTTCACCACTGCCCTTCTTGTAACTGAAATAATCTCCTCTCACATCATTTTCTTCGTTGTCAGAGCATGGAGGTGTAGCATACAAATCTATTTCTTCATCAACAAAATCCGCCACATTTTGCTCAACCCTTGCTTCCTCCTCAAACTGATACTCATTGTGATCACTCTCATCTGTATCAGACTCATCTCCCTCAAACTCATCTCTCTCACTCCCTGCACTTTCGATGTCAGCCTCCACATATATGTCCATTTGGTTAATCCACATTGCTGCCTCACACATCTTCTTGAAATTGTCATCTCCATTAGCCAACTGTTTACGAGACTTCAGATCTTCAAATGGAAGCTTGTACCATACTCTCTGACCATACAAACTCACTGGAAGTTGATTCATTAGGTTCATGTACAACTGAGATGGTAGAGCACTAATAATCCGATAACCACCACCAACATACATATCACGGCCTTCAGCTTTTTGAAAATTGCCACTATAGTGACAACCAAAAGTTATCGCACTCTCTGTTTCATCACTGCATACAATTACAAGCAATTTAGATTCTTTTAAGCATTCTGTCGAACACTTGGCAAACATATTATATTCTCACTCTTTATTAATAAAATCAAGCAAATATGCCAATACTAACTAAAATTTGAATAATTTGGACGAGAATTAACTATTAAACTAACATATTTCACAGCCAAACCCAACTCCAATGTACGAATTTCATAAAAATCAAACTGAACTTACCCCATTCTTCGATTTGAATAAGGGAAACACAATACTTGGTCCCGAATTCTGCTTCTACTTCCCCAACAATCGAATTAAAATCCTCTTGAATTGCTGGAAGTTTGCTGTTGATTCACTCCTAATCTCTCTTTCAAATCGGGATAAACCCTAACTCAAATTCCCCAAATCGATTTTGGCATTACAAGAGAAAATTTGAAGTTTCAAAACGACGTCGTTTTGTTTAAGTACGTCAAAACGACGTCGTTTTGATTGTTCCGACACCAAAAACACGAACAACGTCGTCTGGTTTTGCCACGCTGTAGCTGACTCAGCAAGCTAACACACGCCCAAATGCGATTTTGGAGGAATTGGCCAACTTGTGCAAGTTCGTGTGGGAATTTCAATATTTGAAGGAGTTCGTGTGGGTTTTGGCTTGATTAAATAGTTTGTGTGCGGATTTCCGGGGATTAGTAAGTTCAGGGGGGAATTAGCCAAAAACCCTAGGATTATCATGATAACAATCAACTACATGTTAGCAAGATCCAATTAACATGATAAATAGTAAACTACAATAGTTGGTTGTTATCATGCTAACAACGCAGATTTGAAATTATTCATAAGCTAGAGTAGTTATCATGCTAACTGAATATTTTTAACATGTATTGATTGTGCGAAGGACCAATAAAACACCACCAAAGAATCTAAGTCTTTTGTTGATAAATTTCATCTGTTATCGTAGGATTAGTATGATAACAAGCAACTACATTTATTAACATGTAGTTGTGTGTTATCATGTTAACAAAATCTCTTTAACATGACAAATATTAAACTAATATTGTATAGCTAATACACTAATGTAAGGTTATCGTGATAACAACCAATGTACATGATAACAAGAGCGTGTTAGCAAAATCCGATTAGCATGATAAATAGTAAACCACATTTATTAACATTTAGTTTGTTGTTATCATGCTAACAATGCAGTTTGTCCATTACTCGTAAGCTATAATAATTATCATGTAGTTATCAACTACATGTTAACAAAGTCCGACTAGCATGGTAAATAGCAAAGATAAAGACCAATAAAACACCACCAGAGAGCCTAAGTCTTTCGTCGATAATTTACATCTGTTATCGTAAGATTATCATGATAACAAGCAATTACATGTTGCATGGTAAATAGCAAAGTTAAGGACCAATAAAACATTACCAGAGAGCGTAAGTCTTTCATCGATAAATTATATATGCTATCGTAGGATTATCCTGATAACAAGCAACTACATGTTAGCAAAATCCTATTAGCATGAATTGGACATCAAATGCACCGCCAATCTCTGTGTGGGCCCAAATATATTCAACCTGACCTAAATCCTTCCTTGTACACAACACTATTAGACATCTATGTGTAGGGTTGATTATGTCTTTCTTAGATGAGCAGTGATTGAACAGTGTCCGAAAACTCTGACAGAAATGGCCATTTAATTATGGGGTTATTGGTGTACATCTAGTGCAATTACTCTAAAATTATTAATATTTTAAGTTTAGAGATTTCTACTTATTTTCTTAGTTTTGACAGCCATATTAGAGAGCTCATATGGGGTTCTTTAAAGAGGTTAAAGAAAAAAAAAACACTTTTCTCTAGCATTGTATGCACATCATGAAACGGAACAACATTTGTGGATACTCTAGTTCTTCCTTCTGGAGAAGATGATGGGTCTGTTCTTTCCATAATCGCACACCTCCTGTCATGTCACAACATTAGCATCATCCTAAGTGCTGTGAGAGCCTCTCTGTTCGCATTCCTCTCCCTGTCATTCTCTACCTATAGCTTTCTTCCTAGATAATATCATTTGTGGATACTCTAGTTCCTTCTTCTTCTTATCTCACTATCCATTGGTAAAGTTTCTCCTCTAAAACAAGAAAAAAATTTACAAAATCTCAATGATATGTGACAAAAACAAGAACACTACAACATCTTGAAACGCAGCTACTAAAAGGGGAATAACATCGCTTTGGGATTCATGATTGTAGTTGTTCATATACTTAATTCACGAAGTAAAAACAGAGTTTGTATTCATTCAAGACAATCAATTAAACACAAAACAACCCAAAACGCAGAGGCTATGAGGAAACAAGCTGATGGGTTTCTTTGAGTTCTTTGCCTCTGAATTTCTTCACATTGTGCTAGAATCAAATGTTATTTTACCTGTTCAAGATTATCACAGACACGAACTTCTGATGAAATAGAATGTTCTAAGCTTGAAGGATTAAGATTCCAGGGAATCCCTTTAGCTCTATCTTGGTAGCTCTGAGTCTCTTGTTTCTCCAAACGCAGATCTCTTCTTCTTCTCATGGTAGCTTCAATCTCTTCTTCTTCTCATGTCAATTGATAGTGTGATAAGAACTCAGCAGCATAAATCGGAGAAATTCAAAACAAGAGCCAAATTATGTAAGAAACTCAACAGCAAAAATCGTAGAACTTACTTCTGGCGTTTTCATCGGCCATACAGAGGACGGTAAGGCCATCGGTTCGGTTGACGTGGAAGACGAACCAATCCTGAGAATAGGACATGTGGCTACCGTCATCGGATCCGGGTAGCTTCTCCAGAATCTGCTTCGCGATTGAGTTCGTGTTGGTCGAAGTTAATCTCAAAGTTAATCTCAAAGTTGATTGGTTTTACAATTATGATTTGAGTTATAGATTGGTTCTTAATTAATATATTAATAATATATTTAACTATGCAATTTCGTGTCTTTCTTGAATTTAACTTCATTACTCACTCATTTGTCACTTTGTTTTGTTTTTTTTGCTTTAACTCATATCTTACTTACTTCATTTGAATCTAAAAATTCATTATGCAACTGATATAAATATGACTGAATTGCTGTGCAGTTGCAGTTAATTTTCGGGAGAACTTTACATCTATCAAAAGTACCGGCCGGTCCAACCGAAAATGCCCTTCCCGTTGGCCTGAAAGGTTAACAAAACAGAGCAGTGAAGAGAGTTACAGAGAAGACACAAGAATCTGGTCTGGAACCGTATCAGAGATCTATCTAAATGGTTTAGGTATAAACTGGACAAGGATTCACAATGTGATGGACATGAATGCTGGTTATGGAGGGTGAGACAATTCTTCAAATTTAGTTACTTCCGAAAATATACTTTCTATATTTCTAATATTTTTGTTCTTGATATTGGTTTCAGATTCGCGGCTGCTCTTATAAACAGACCTCTCTGGGTGATGAATGTGGTTCCTGTGAAATGTGAAGACAAGTTATCTATGATTTTCGATAGAGGTTTAATTTGGATTTACCATGACTGGTGTGAGTCTTTCAACACATACGCAAGATCATATGATATCTTGCACTCTAGTTTCTGTTACGTATGAGGATACACGTCCACCTATACTCTACCGTTACAAGAGGAAAGAGAAGGGCCCGAAGGCGTAAGACGGGCTTGGGGTATTGAATAAGAGCATGAGGCCCACTTCACATCTGACTAGGGAGTCAATGAGGAGTGGATATTATCATTTGCAGTAGAGAGGAAGAGCACGTGGGAGGAATCTTTCCGTTATTGAGATCTTCTAGAAGATCGCCAGCTAGACGTATGGGAAGGAGTGAACAACGTCGTAGTATAAAGATAGGTGGTTATGCATTGTATTTGTTATCAAGAGATTTGGTCAGTTGTAAAGAGGAGGAGAGGCCTCTGCGAAACCTCTCGCTTGTATTGACATTCATTGGAAATACAAGGGCTATCTTTTACATTCGCTACGTTCTAGAAAACAAGGAGATACTCGTATCAACTTGGTATCAGAGCGGAGTTTCGGTACGGACGTTTTCATGGCGCCAAAAACTGAGGTGATGAAGGCAGTGGAGGCGCTACAGAGAGACGTGGAGAGAATCGAGGTGCTGGAGAAGAGCATCGAGGAGATGAGGCAGCAGATGGGGAAGCTGAGTGTCCTCGATCGCTTGGAACGGCACCTGGATGAGGTTGACAGGAGCAAACAGAAGGCGGAGGAGATCGTGATTGGCTCCGTCAAACTTTCGAGCACCGGGAAACAAAGAGAGGAAGATGATCCCGGATCAGCTACGGTCGTGGATCAGAATGTTTCCTCGCTGCTCCATACCACTACGGAGGTTGTTACCGCCAAGTTGGAGGGAGACACGGTGGTAACCGTCTCAGGTGAACCGGCAAAGAAGGATCGCAACGAGCCGCTCACGAGGAAGATTGAAATTCCGGTGTTCGATGGTGAGAACGCGGAGAGTTGGGTATTGAGGGTTGAGCAGTATTTCGAGATGGGAGATTTCTCGGAGGAGGAGAAGCTCCGAGCGGTGAGGATGTGTTTTGACGAGGATGCATTACTTTGGTATCGTTGGGAACGGGAGAGGAATCCGTTTGTGAGCTGGGACCAGCTGAAGCGTAGGGTGCTGGTGCAGTTCTCAGACGATTTCAAATCCAGCGCTGGTGAGCAATTGATGACGCTGAGGCAGGACGGGTCGGTGAAGGATTACTGCAAGGAATTCATCGCGATCGCCACTAATGCGCCGGGGTTGGCAGAGGACGTGTTGGAAATGGCGTTTAGGATTGGGTTGAACCCACGGATTCTGGCAGGGATGAAGATGTTGAATCCGCGTGGGTTGGAGAAAATGATGAGTGCGGCGAGACGGGTAGAAGAATGGGATGAGGCAGAGGATTTCCGATCGGGGCCGCTGCGTGGAGGAGCGGAGAAGTGGTCGAGGAATTCATCGGGTCGTTTTGCAGCGGCAAATCCCAAGCCCAGTTCTCATCCGGGTCATGGGCCAGGAGGGGGAAGGCCCAAGTCCATAAATAATTTGGGGGTCAAACGACGATGACTAAAGGTCAAGGCGGAAAGGCACCACCGCATAATCGTCTGAAACCACCGTTTCGTCGTCTGACGCCGGCGGAGTTGGCGAAATGGAAGGCGGAGGGCCTTTGCTTCAAATGTGACGAGAAATTCGTGTATCCACACCAATGCGCGAAGAGAGAATTGATGGTATTACTCGTCCTGGAGGACGGATCTGAGGAGTTGTTGACTTGCGATTGGGAAGAAGATCCGGCTCTGGAGATGATGGAGATCGCGGAGTTATCCCTCAATTCCATTGCGGGGATCTCTTCACCTCACACTATCAAGCTGATTGGGACAATTGAAGGTGAACCCGTGGTGGTGATGATTGATAGTGGGACTTCTCACAACTTTGTGAGCGAATCAATGCTAGGCCGGTTAGGCTTGGTACCGGAGACGATTGGTGGTTACGGAGTCCGCACTGGTGGTGGGATTACGGTCAAAGGGAAGGGAGTGTGTAGGAATGTGAAGCTCGAGATGCAGGGTTGTCGAGTCATCACGAGCTTACTTCCTTTGTCTCTGGGAACGGCGGATGTAATATTGGGGTGTCAATGGTTAGAGACCCTCGGAGATACGTAGTGTAATTGGAAGCTTCAGCGTATGAGCTTCTTGGTTGGGGATCAGCGAGTGACGCTTCAAGGAGACCCGAGCCTCTGCAACTCGGCGGTGTCCCTGAAGGCGTTATGGAAGGCGGTTGAGGATCAGGGTGAAGGTATGATTGTGGAGTACTATGGGCTTCAGGTGGTCGGCGTCGACGAAGAGCCGATAACAGAGGCCTTTTCAGCGTTGTTGGATGAGTTCGGAGAGATCTTTAACGAACCAGAGGGACTTCCTCCTTCTCGCGGGAAGGAGCACAGGATTGAGTTGCAGGCGGGTGCGAGTCCAGTGAGTGTACGACCCTTTAGGTATCCTCAGGCGCAGAAGGCGGAGATTGAGAAACAGGTGGGAACTATGTTGGCTGCGGGAATCATCCAAGAGAGTGGGAGTCCATTCTCAAGCCCGGTTCTGGTCGTGAAGAAGAAGGACGGCAGTTGGAGGTTCTGCGTCGATTATCGTGCCCTGAACAAGGTCACGATTCCGGATAGCTACCCCATTCCAATGATTGATCAGTTATTGGACGAGCTCCATGGGGCTTGTATCTTCTCTAAGCTTGACCTCCGTTCCGGTTACCATCAGATTTTGGTAAGAGCAGAAGATATGCCCAAGACTGCGTTCCGTACCCATGATGGGCACTACGAGTTCCGTGTGATGCCGTTTGGGTTATCCAATGCCCCGACAACTTTTCAGTCTCTGATGAATGATGTGTTTCAGCCCTACTTGCGTCAGTTTGTTCTGGTTTTCTTCGATGATATCCTGGTGTACAGTCGTACTGAGCTCGAGCATCAGGGTCATCTGCGTTGTGTTTTGGAGGCACTAAGGAAGCAAGAGTTGTACGCGAACCGGAAGAAGTGCAATTTTGGTAGTCGGAAGGTGGAATACTTGGGGCATGTTATATCCGCGGAGGGAGTGGCCGCTGATGATGAGAAGATCCGCGCGATGGTGGAGTGGGAGACTCCACGAAATGTCAAGGAGCTCCGTGGGTTCCTTGGTTTGACAAGCTATTATCGTAAGTTCGTTAAGGGCTACGGTGAAATTGCTCGACCCCTAACAGCTCTGTTGCAGAAGAATCAGTTCAAGTGGTCTGAGGAGGCGACTGCTTCGTTCTTGCAGCTCAAGACGGCTATGACGACAGTGCCGGTGCTGGCTTTGCCCGATTTCAATGAAACCTTTGTCGTCGAGTCTGATGCGTCTGGTACAAGGTTGGGGGCTGTGTTGATGCAGGGACAGCGCCGTATTGCGTTCTTTAGTCAGGCGCTTACGGCTCGACAGCGGTTGAAGTTGGTGTATGAAAGGGAGTTAATGGCGGTGGTTTTTGCCATCCAGAAGTGGCGGCATTACTTGTTGGGGCGTCGGTTCGTGGTGCGCACAGACCAGAAGAGTCTGAAGTTCCTACTTGAGCAGAGGGAGATCAACGTGGAATTTCAAAGGTGGTTAACCAAGATTTTGGGGTTTGATTTCGACATTCACTACAAGCCTGGTTTGGAGAACAAAGCAGCGGATGCTTTGTCAAGGAAATATGTGGTGCCTGAGCTCTTTGCCTTGTCTATGTCATCTGCACTTCAATTGGAGGAGATTTGTTGTGAGGTTGACAAAGATCCGGCTCTGAGCAAGCTGCGTGAGGAGGTGCAGCAGCAGCCACAGAGGCACCCCGATTACTCCGTGGTCCAGGGCCGATTGTTACGGCACGGGAAGTTGGTAACAGTCGCCTCTTCTCAAGGCCATTTTGGTGGAAATGCACGATGGGAAACTCGGAGGTCACGGTGGTATTTTGAAAACGCAAAAGAGGGTGAGTGAATGGTTTTACTGGGCAGGTATGATGACGGATATCAGGAGATACGTCGCTGAATGCACAGTCTGCCAGCGCAACAAATACTCGACGTTGACGCCTGGAGGCTTGCTTCAGCCACTGCCTGTGCCAATAGAGATTTGGGAGGACATATCGATGGACTTCGTGAAAGGGTTGCCACGGTCCGATGGGTTCAATGCGATATTGGTAGTGGTGGATCGCCTGTCAAAATATGCGCACTTCTTGGGTTTAAAACATCCGTTCACCGCGACTGACGTAGCCTTGATGTTTATTCGAGAAGTAGTCCGTCTGCATGGGTTTCCTCGGACTATCGTTTCTGATAGGGATAAGGTGTTCACGAGCAATTTTTGGAAGGAGCTTTTCCGTTTGGCAGGTACTTCCCTTTGCTTGAGTACGGCGTACCATCCGCAAACCGACGGTCAGACGGAGGTCACGAATAGAGGATTGGAGACGTACCTACGCTGTTTCACCAGTGACAAGCCAAAGGCGTGGGCACAGTTTCTCTCTTGGGCTGAGTTTTGCTATAATACTTCTTTCCATTCCACAATCAACATGTCTCCGTTCAAGGCAGTGTACGGGGGAGAGCCTCCACCGTTGTTACGCTTCGAGTCTGGTTCCACGACTAATGCGGATCTGGAGAGTCGGTTGATTGAACGGGATGGAATGTTGGAACTGCTACGGGAACACATGTCTAACGCGCAAATCGTCATGAAGGCGAAGGCAGATGACCATCGTCGCGTAGTGGAGTTTGCAGTGGGTGAGTGGGTCTGGTTGAAGCTCAGGCCGTATCGCCAACACACTCGCGAGGAGGAGTAACGAGAAGCTGTCTGCTCAGTTTTACGGGCCCTATGAGATTGAAGCTCGGGTTGGTCAGGTTGCTTACCGTTTGAAGCTTCCCGCGGAGTCTAAGTTGCACCCTACCTTTCATATCTCACAACTCAAACGTGTCATTGGATCTGCTGTTGAACCGTCACCACTTCCTCCGCAACTTACTCATGAGGTGTTCCTGGAAGCTACTTCGGAGAAGATTCTGGCTGTGCGTACTAGCCCAAGCTCCGGGCAGGAGGAGGTTCTGATTCAGTGGAAGGGTCTGCCCGAGTACGACAATTCGTGGGAGTGGAAGGTCTCGATGAAGAAGCGGTTCCCGTACTTCGACCTTGAGGACAAGGTCAATTTCAAAGAGGGGAGTAATGTTACGTATGAGGATACACGTCCACCTATACTCTACCGTTACAAGAGGAAAGAGAAGGGCCCGAAGGCGTGAGACGGGCTTGGGGTATTGAATAAGAGCATGAGGCCCACTTCACATCTGACTAGGGAGTCAACGAGGAGTGGATATTATCATTTGCAGTAGAGAGGAAGAGCACATGGGAGGAATCTTTCCGTTGTTGAGATCTTCTAGAAGATCGCCAGCTAGGTGCATGGGAAGGAGTGAACAACGTCGTAGTATAAAGATAGGTGGTTATGCATTGTATTTGTTATCAAGAGATTTGGTCAGTTGTAAAGAGGAGGAGAGGCCTCTTGATGCAGCGCACAAGAGATGTTATGGGCTTTCGTCAAACACGCCTCGGGCTTTCACGTGTTTGACAAGTTATTAGTTACTTTGGTTTTGTTTTGGTTTTTACTTTCTTATAGGGTAAGGATTAGCTGCTTTTAGGATTAGGATTACAAAGATTTCATTAGATCTTCTCTCATTGTATTTAAGAGCTCGAATACTCTCTTGTAAAAACACCTTTGATGAATATTGAGATACGTTAAGAGCTTTATAGCACTGTGAAGAGTATTCACATCCCCTGTTTCTTTGATATTGCTTCCGCCTCTCTATCAGTTGGTATGAGAATCAGACCGTTCCTGTGGTGTTTTCCGATCCAAGTCAATGGCTCCAAAGAAGACAACCACCGGCAACAACAACCCAGCTCCACGACCTGATGGGTCTACGACTGAGTTTGCTGACCTCCGTTCGTTACTGATCTCAATGCAGGAGAATACACAAGCGACGATCCAAGCCTCGATCAATGCCATGGGCGAGATGTTGGTGAATCGTTTGGGAGACAACAATCGCTTTCGCGATAATGAAAATCCTTTTGGCACTCTGGATGACGATTACGAGGAAGACGACGATCATCGTCGTGTTCACCGAACGAATCAACCAGAGTTTTTATTTATCTCTTATTCGTCTTCTTTCTCTACTCATTTCATTTTTTTTTTCCTCTTCAAGTTTTCTTCTTTTTCTCAAAGTTTCTCATCTTCTTATCCACCATCTTCTTTTATTCTACTTGTGCTTTTATTCCTTCTTGTCTACGTCTTTTATTCTTCTCTAGTGGTCCCATCTTCTTCTTTTTTCTTCCTTTTTTTATTCGATGTCATCATTTTTTTTTCTGCTTCTTCTTCATTTTCCAATTTTTGTTCTTCAATCATTTCTTGTGTCATCATATACTCTAGTTCACTATTCTTCTTTTTCTTTCTAATTTTCTTTACATTCTATTTTCTATTTTTCTTCTTCCTCATTCTCACACTCTCTCTACCTTTATCCTCTTCGTCTGCTCTAACATCATCTTATTATAATTTTTATTTATCTCTTTTTAGTCTTTTTTTTCTTCTCATTCCATTTTTTCTTCTTTGAATTCTTTTTACTTGTGTTCAAGTTTTCTTCTTCCTCTCGAAGTTTCCCGTATCCTTTTCCATAGTCTTATTTTCTCTTTTTCGTTCTTGTCTACATTTTGTATTTCACTTATCAATTCATTCAATAATCTAGATTTTGTTAATTCAAAAATTCAATTAATTTTTAGATTAACACATTTTATTTTTAATTAATTTTCATATTTTTTGATGTGTTTATTTTCCAAGGAAGTAATAGCTTAACATTTTGTTAATTTGATATGAATTTATAAATTGTGAAAACACAAAAAATTAGTTAAATTTTGCAATTGTTGTTTTCTTCTCCCTTATTTTTTTCCAATGATCCCATTTTTTTTCCTTCCGTTTTTATTTATTGTCATCATATTTTTTTTTTGCTTCTTCTTTTTCCAATTTTTTTTCTTTAGTCCTTTCTTTTGTCTTCATATCATCCTCCATCTTACTATTCTTCTTTTTCTTCTACATTCTTTTTCCGGTTTTTCTTCTTTCTCATTCCCTCCTCTCTCTATCTTTATCATCTTCCTCTTCTCCGACATCATCTTATTCTAGTTTTTATTTATCTCTTATTCGTCTTCTTTCTCTTCTCATTTCATTTTTTTTTTCTTTTTCCTCTTCAAGTTTTCTTCTTTTTCTCAAAGTTTCTCATCTTCTTATCCACCATCTTCTTTTATTCTACTTGTGCTTTTATTCCTTCCTTTCTACGCTTATATTTCACTTATCAATTCATTCGATAGTGAAACATCCAACATTTTTTTTTTTAATAAATATTAATCAATTCTAGCGAAGGTCTTTAAAATAAATTAAATAAATAAAATATCAATAACAAATAAATCAGCTCAGCGGAAGCAAATAATAATTAAACAAGTCTAGCAAAATAATGCAAAACAATAAAACAGTAAACATCCTATCATCCCCCTCTTCAGCCTTGATTCCGCGATCACACAAATCTTTTACCTGCAACACATTGGAATGGAGTTGCGTAAGTATTTAATAAATACTTAGTGAGGCAATCACTCTGCCTACGAGCCATTTACGCAATTTACTAGATATTTAATAATATTTATAAACTCCAATAATTATTAAATACCATTTTCCAATTATTAAATAATTTTTAATAATTAAAACTCAATTTCTCAATTATTAAATAATTCTCATAATTAAATAATAATTTTCCATATTTTAAAATAATTAAAATAATTATTTTAAACCAATTAATTAAATAAATATTATTTAATTAATTAAATCCGAATTAAATCTATTTAATTCCATTAAACCAATTAAATTCAATTAAACCAATATAAATTAAATTCAATTGAACCAAGATAAACCAGAATCAAATCAATTAAATTCAATTAAACCAATATAAACCAATTAAATCAATTAACCATAAACTCAAATCAATTAAACACAGATTAACCACACAAACACACAATTCATCACATAAACAACCAAAATATCATAAATAACAATTAAAACATAAACTCATCAAGAACAACCACAAACCAAATCTAATCTAGCAAATCGCGGACCCACAGTCATGCACTCACCTTGACAATGATTGAAACTGAAGGAAAAAGGAAAGACGATGAACAGTGCCGAATCGCGGATGAACAGTACCGATGAACAGTACCGATGAACAGTAAAATCATGATTTTTCCAGAACTCTCAAAATCGCTTTTCTCCTTCTCTGCCTCGAAAAACGTGAGAACAGACGGCTGCACTCTTTAAACTTGATTTTAGGGCTTTCTCCACTAAACCGGGCTAAACCAATTCACTTAAATTGAACCGAAAATCAATTTCAATTATTTGGTTTATGGATGTTACAACTCTCCCCCACTAAACTGGATTCGACCTCGAATCCCAACAAACAAACGTCACAAAGACCACAAAAACCCGACCTCGCAAGGCCGCAACACTGGAGATCCTCACCTGATCCCCGAGACAATGTCAATCTTATGTCATAAGCACGTTCCAAGAAAATTTCACTCCTAACTCATCATCCAAACACACCAAACACTTGTACTGAGGCCCACTTGCACCCAGACAAGTCCACACCGGTCCGCACTGAGGCCCACTTGCACCCAGACGAACCCGAAAACGTCCATACTGAGGCCCACTTGCACCCAGATGAACTAAACTGCTTATACTGAGGCCTACTTGCACCCAGATAAGCTACACTCAACTGAGGCCTACTTGCACCCAGAGAGTCTGCCAGAGAACGAAGTCTCCAAAAACATGATGAGTTATTCAGGATCGCAATCCTTAGAGTAAAAATTCCGGAAAATGTCTATAACCATAAGATTAGACCGTCTCACAACCAAAAACTGGTCAAACATGTGTAACATCCGAATACCATTTCACAACACAAGGCAAAATGAGGAAAAACTGCATCTCATTAAAACTCCAAAATGTATATCGTTACAACGAAAACGAAAATACAATAACACCAAAGCCAAAAATAACAACTGAGGCTACAAAGATGAAATAAGCTCACTCCTCGACCTGCTTGTCGAACCACTTCCTGAACTTCAACTTCATCTTTGCCTCTGGCTCCCAAGTCTCCTCTGTAGAACCACTGCAATCCCACAAAATCCTCAGTAAGGGAATCCTCTTGTTCCTCAGAACCTTTTCCCTCCTCTCTAAAATCCTCACAGGCACTGCCGGCACTGTCAAATCTGGCTGAAGATCCTCTGGAATCCTAGCCACTAACTCCTCTGTAGGGTGAAGACACTTCCTCAGCATCGACACATGAAAAACCTTGTGAAAGGCTTTCATAATCTCAGGCAACTCCAGCCTGTAAGCCAATGGCCCAACTCGCTCCACTACTGGAAACGGACCCATAAAACGCGGACTCAGCTTGTTCTCTGCTATGGATCTGTTAGGACCCCTCAACATAGCCATCTTGAGATAAACTCTATCTCCCACCTGAAACTCAAGCTCTCGTCTGCGTCTATCTGCATAACTCTTCTGCCTATCCTGAGCCTCCTTCATGTTCAGCCTCACAACACGGACCTTCTCTGTCGTCTCCTGAACATAAGTAGCTCCATACATGCTGCGCTCCCCCACTTGGGTCCAGCATAGGGGTGTCCTACATGGCCTCCCATACAAAGCCTCAAATGGAGCCATGCCAATACTCGCCTGAAAGCTGTTGTTGTATGCAAACTCAACTAAGCTCAGGTGATCTGCCCAATGGCCACCCCAATCCAACACACACATCCTCAGCAAATCCTCCAAGTCTGAATAGTCCTCTCTGACTGACCATCTGTCTGCGGATGATAAGCTGTACTCAATGCACCTTAGTGCCCATCTCTGCCTGAAACGCCCTCCAAAACTCTGAAGTGAATCTGGGATCACGGTCTGACACAATACTAGCTGGCACTCCATGCAGCCTCACAATCTCTCGCACAAACTTCCTAGCCAAGACAGCAGCTCCATCTGTCTTCTTGATGGCCAAGAAATGTGCGGACTTAGTCAACCGATCCACAATCACCCAGATAGCATCGAAAGTCCTCGAAACAGGTAGTCCAACCACGAAATCCATCGTAATCCTGTCCCACTTCCACTCTGGAATGGGTAAACTCTGCAAAAGACCACCCGGAACCTGATGCTCTGCCTTCACCAAGGCACAAGTGTTGCACTTCGCAACCCAGTCTGCTACATCCCTCTTCATCCCGACCCAATGATAGTACCTCTTGAGGTCATGGTACATCTTGGTCGCTCCCGGATGAATGGAAAACTTGCTCGCGTGAGCCTCTCCCAAAATCTGATGTCTCAACTCCACATCCTTAGGCACACAAACTCGCCCACGAACCAAGATAGTCCCATTCGCAGAGACCTCATACTCAGAACCAGTCACTCTCGTCGCATCTAGCAAACTCTGATCACTCTGCTGAGCAACTCTGATCCTGCTAAGTAGATCCGCCTGATCCACTGCCTCTAAACCCAAAGGCTCCTGCGAAATGGCACACAAACGCAAGGTACTGATCTCGCCAACTAGAGACTCCACATCTCGCTCAACTGCGGAATCATACCTCCGTCTACTCAACGCGTCCGCCACTAGGTTAGCCTTGCCCGGATGGTAGTTAATGCTCACCTGATAATCCGCCAAGAACTCAACCCAGCGCGTCTGTCTCGCGTTCATCATCGGCTGAGTGAAGATATGCTGCAAACTCTTGTGATCCGTGAAGACCTGTACTGTCTCACCTAGCAAGTAAGACCTCCAAATCTTCAACGCGAAGATCACTGCTCCCAACTCTAAGTCATGTGTAGGACGGTTACGCTCACTGCCCTGCCACTGTCTCGAAGCATATGCTATCACTCTGCCCTCCTGCATCAGCACACAACCAAGACCAATGCCTGAAGCATCTGTATACACCATGTAAGGCTTCCCTGGCTCGGGTAACGCCAACACTGGTGTAGTAGTCAACATCTCCTTGAGCTGACTAAAGCTCTCCTCACACTCAGCTGACCAAACAAAAGGGACATCCTTCCCGGTCAACTTCGTCATCGGCTGCGCCATGGTAGCAAACCCCTTGACGAACCTCCTGTAGTATCCTGCCAAACCCAGAAAACTCCTGATCTCGGTGGCACTACTAGGTCTAGGCCAATCTCTGATAGCCTCAATCTTAGCCGGATCCACAGAAACTCCCTCTGCAGAAACAATGTGGCCAAGAAATCCCATCTCTCGCTGCCAGAAACTGCACTTGCTCAACTTAGCAAAAAGCTTCTGCTCCCGAAGCTTCTCCAGAACCAACCTCAAGTGAGTCGCATGCTCCTCCTGACTCCTCGAGTATACCAGAATATCATCAATGAAAATGATGACAAACACGTCCAAATACTCCCTGAACACGTCGTTCATCAATCTCATGAAGGCTGCCGGCGCGTTAGTCAAACCGAAAGGCATAACCACAAACTCAAAATGCCCATAACGCGTCCTGAAAGCAGTCTTCCTGACATCTGCCTCATCTATCGGGATCTGATGATACCC